TGCCATCAACAGCACCGCACGCTTTAGCAAACTTCGGGAACAGTGCTCACAAAGTCCTGGCGACAATCCAACCTGTGCTTCCAAACACGAGTGTGCTATAAGTAAACAGATGAGTAGAAAACAACGTAAACGATGCTTAAGTGAGTAATAAACACGACAACACGTTTTTGGCAATAGACGTATTAAATAAGCAGGAGTGTTTTTCTAAAACTAAGTGGCTGTATTTTGTGTGTACGTGCTCATCTGCTTTTCAACACTTTTTCAGGCAGTGAAAATCATATCCCAAAGAATAAAACACCTAGCAATAAATTTAGCCAAGGGGGTGAAAGACCTGTACACCGATCGCTCTAAAACACCGCTGGAAGAACTGAAGGAGACGAGGGTAAGAGCAAGGACATCCCATGTTCATGGATGGGAACGCTTAACGTGAAGGTGACAGTGCTCCCCAGTGTGATCCTTATCAAAATCCCCAAGCCTCTTTCTCTAGAAATGAAAAGGCCGAGCTTCAAAATCATATGGAACCGGTAAGAGTCTAGAATAGAATAAACTTGAAAACGATGAAGAACGTTGAAGGATTCACAATTCCTGATTTCAAAACTTACGACGAGAGTACAGTGATTGAGTCAGTGTGGTATCTGGCATATAGGACAGATATACACACTGACGGAGTAAAGCTGAGAGTCCAGAGATAAACCCATATATTTATGGCCAACTGATTTTTGACAAGGATTTCAAGACTGTTCAGTGGAGAAAGAAATCATCTTTTCAACAAATGGTGCCAGAAAAGCCATATTTCTACACGCAAAATAATGTAGTTGGACCCCTACCTCACCCCATATACAAAAATTAACTAAAAGTCATAAACATCCTAAATGTAAGCGCTAAAACCAAAGTGTCTTAGAGGAAAACATAGGGGAATCACTTTGTGACCTTGGATTTGTCAACAGGTTCTTAGCTATGACACCAAAAGCATGAAGATCAAAAGAAAAAAATTAATTGGACATCATCAAAATTAAAACCTCTAGTGATTCAAAAGACGCCATCAAGAAAGTGACAGGACAATCTACAGAATGGGAGAAAATATTTGCAAATCGTATGTCTGATAAGAGTTTATAACCAGAAAACATAAAGAACCCATACAACTCAGCAACAAAAAGACAAGCAACCCAATTTAAAAATGGGCAGAGAGGGGCACCTGGGTAGCTCAATCAGTTAAGTGTCCAAATTGATTTCGGCTCAGGTCCTGGTTGCACAGTTCATGGGTTAGAGCCCCGTGTCAAGCTCCACACTGATGGCACGCAGAGTCTACTTAGGATTCTGTCTCCCTCTCCCTGCCCCTTTCCCACTCACACTCTCTCTGCCTCTCTCAAAATAAATACACTTTTTTTTTAAATGGGAAAGGAACTTGAATGGACATTTCTCCAACAAAGCTGTACAGAGGGCCAACATGCACACAAAAAGATGCCCCACATTATTGGTCATCAGGGAAATGCAAATCACAACCACAATGAAACACTACTTCATATGCGCTAGGATGGCTAAAATTGAAAGAAAGAAGAAAGAAGAAAGAAAGAAAGAAAGAAAGAAAGAAAGAAAGAAAGAAAGAAAGAGAGGGAGGGAGGGAGGGAGGAAGGAAGGGAAGAAGGAAGGAAGGAAGGAAGGAAGGAAGGAAGGAAGGAAGAAAAAGAAAGAAAGAAAGAAAGAAAGAAAGAAAAGAAAAGAAAAGAAAAGAAAAAAAAGGGACCAGTGTTGGTAAGGATGTGGAGAAATTGGAGCCCTCAAACATCATCACTGGGACTATCAAGTCGTGCACCAGCCTGGAAACATTGTGGCACTTACCACACGCCCCCAGAAACTCCACTCCTAAGAATATACCCCCAAAAAGTAAAAAAGGCAGTCAGATGTTCTTTGCAGCATTGTTCACAACAGCAAGAAGGTAAAAACGACCCAGGGGTCCACTGACGGATGGCTAAGCAAAATGTGGTCCGTCCACAGAGTGGAATATTCTTCATTCATGACATGAAAGACGTGCTGACACCCGCTGCGACATGAATGAGCCTTGGGGACATGATGCTGTGTGAAGTCAGCCAGCCACAAAAGGACAGCGATGGTCTGACCCCGCTCGTATGACGTACCAGAGCAGCCAGACTCAGAAACAGTAGGATGGGGGGGGGGGGGGGTTGCTGGGGGGACTGCGGGACGGGAGGCAGTGTCCCATGGGGACAGAGCTTCAGTTCGGGATGATGGCAAAAGTCCTGAAGCTGGACGGTGGAGACGGCTGCACAATTGCGAATGCACTTAGTGCCCCGACACTGTACATTTGAAAATGGGTACAATGGCAGATTTTCTGTTACCTCTGTTTTACTACAATTAAAAAAACTTTTTTAAAGAAAGTCAAACAGAAGAATATGGCTTTGTCATACTTGTAATGGTAGCTGCGATAATCACATATAACAACCACTGCATGCTCATAATTTTAGTCTTTTTTAATTTATTTTGAGAGAGAGCACACGTGGGGGAGGGTCAGAGAGAGAGAGAGAAAATCCCAAGCAGGTTCCTTGCCGTCAGCACAGAGGCTGACACAGGGCTCGAACTCGCGAACAGTTAGGTCACGACCTGAGCCAAAATCCAGAGTCAAACACCCAACCGACTGAGCCACCCAGTGGTCCCCTGCGTGCTCATAACTGCACACGCGCACAGGAGGCCGCAGGTGGCCGTCTCAGGGAGGCAGTGAGCGGAGGGAACACAGGCAGAGCCCCCGCCAGTGGGTGCAGCACCGGGTCGGGGAGACTCGAGATAACCGTGTGGCATCTGCTCCCGCGGCAAGGCGGGGACGGCTCCCCGCTGGCCCACAGAGCACTCGCCTGTTGGGCGGCCACGAATGTGAGCAGCGCCAGCGTCCCAGGGGACCGAGTGTGCGTCCGGGCAGGCGTCAGAGGGGTGGGCGGCCGTGAGCGAGGCGGGCACTGCCTTCGCTCTCAGCGCACGAGCATTTGGAGAAGCACGTGCCCGGTAAGCCTGGCCGCCCCCGACCCCAGCCCCAGCCCCCCGCTCGAGAGGCGTCCCCGCAAAGCAGCTACAGACCCCAGCCCCCGGAGGCGCGCCTGGCACAAGCCCAGCTTCGCGGAAAGCAGGGCGCCATCCCTTCGAAGCGTCATCAGGAAAGGTGGCCTGCCCGTCTCTTTGGGAGGCAGGGGCCCCACCCCGCACTGCCAGTCCCAAACCCGGATGCCCCCCGCCCCAGCCAAGACCCTCTGCACGTCAGCGTTTGCTCCCCTCTGGCCAACCACCCTGCTGCCTGCGCGGGGCACCCCGTTCAGCTCCATGCCCAAGTTCGGCCCCGCCGCGTCATCCTCAATCAAGTCTGTCTTCCCTGCGGGGCACTGGCGTCTGGCCGCGTGTGGCCCGTCCGTGCCCGCGTGAGCAGAGACCCCGGCGCCTGCACCTGCCTCGGCTCAGGAAGGGCGGCCCGTCTGGCCGGCACCAGCCACACCCACCACAGCCCTCTAGCCTGCTTCCCCGGAGCCCCCACGCTCCCCAGAAATGCCCCGCATCACCTCCAGAAGGGGCCCCCCAAACCCTGGGGACCCACCTGCTCTCCCTCCACTCCTGAGGCTTCTGGGCGCCCCCAACTCTTGCATCCCTGCTCTCCTGATGACACCAGGCTCCCGCTCGGAGCCCAAGCGGCCACTGCAGGCCGGCCTCCCCGCACAGAGGGCAGCGGTCCCTCCCGCTGCGAGTGTCCACAGTCGGGGGGCGATCACCAACCTGGCAGTCCCAGTCAGGCTGTGCGCAGGGCCTCCCCTGGCCGTGCCCCAACTAGGTTCGGACTCCCTCAGGGTCACCTGCGATGGCTCCGTCCCCCAGTCCCCATCCCCGCCTGCACCAGCTGATGGCTCACCAGCGCCACCTGCCGGGCTCCTGCAGGCCGGTGCCTCAGCCCGCGTGGGACACTCGCCCTGTCCCACGCTCCCTGCTCTCAGCCGGGCAAGGTCCCGCTCTTACCGACCACCTGCCTCCCGCAACCTCGCCCCACAGTCCGTGCACACGATCCTGCGGCCACTGAGCACACGTTCTCCAAGGTTCTAGAAGCACCGCCTTACCAGGTGCTGCCCGCCGGCCGGCACCCACCGCACACCTTCCCGGACACCTCTCGCTGCCATTTCTCAATCTGCCTTCACCCTGTGTCCTCGCATCTCCCAGAAGCCAGCCTGCTCTCTGCCCTCTGGGGCAGCAGGAGTCTTGGCCTGAGAACACGGGTCCCCCACTTCTGATCCGGGCCCTTCTGCTCACTTCGTATGGGTGTTGGTGTTCACTCGTGCCTCGGTTTCCCCATCTGTAAAATGGGAACAACGGTTCCTACTTCACAAGGTTCAGGGTCACGGAGTTAACATGTACAGGCTTTCAGGGTGCCTGTGTGGCTCAGTCGGTTAAGCGTCCGACTTCCGCTCGGGTCGTGATCTCACAGTTTGTGAGTTCGAGCCCCGCATCAGGCTCTGTGCTGACAGCTCCGAGCCTGGAACCTGCTTCGGATTCTGTGTCTCCCTCTCTCTCTCTGCCCCTCCCTCAATTATGCTCTGTCTCTCTCAAAAATAAACATTTAAAAAAAATGTACACAAACTTGTTCCGAATAGCTGCGGGCACAGAAGAGCTATTACACACGCGTGTTTGCACATACACCAAAAATAAATACAGCTCCCAAGCTATCCGTTGGTTGATGGATTCGGAACAGAATGATTTCCCCAAATAAAGACAACATGAAAAAATAGGCCCATGATTTCTCTGGTGCTGAGAGGCACGGGAAGTGACAGTAAGGAACCGCAGAGGGACGCTGGGAGCGGAGGGCGGGTATCAGGGGTAACTGACCCTCCCGCGTCATTAATGGGCTAAGCTACCCGCCGCGGGCCCGTGACCAGCTTCCTCAGGGACGTGCTCCAGCAACAAGCAGACAGGCTTTTCAGGTCTCGTGATGAACAGCACACAGCCCCGAGGTGTATATAAGCCCCAAACACCCCGAGCACCCACCACACCCACACCCACACCCACTCCCTCCTCCAGCCCCACCGCCCCCGCCATGGCCGCATCCACCCTGTCCGTCTGCTCCAGCGACCTGAGCTATGGCAGCCGCGTCTGCCTGCCCGGGGCCTCGGACTCCTGCCCTGACTCCTCCTGGCAGGTGGACGACTGCCCAGAGAGCTGCTGCGAGCCCCCGTGCTGCGCCCCGGCCCCCTGCCTGACCCTCCTATGCGGCCCCTCCTCCCCCTGCCAGGGAGACTGCTGCACCCCTGCGTGCTGCAAGCCCGTCTGCTGCACCCCTGCGTGCTGCAAGCCCGTCTGCTGCACCCCTGTCTGCTGCAAGCCCGTGTGCTGCACCCCTGCGTGCTGCAAGCCCGTCTGCTGCACCCCTGTCTGCTGCAAGCCCGTCTGCTGCACCCCTGTCTGCTGTGAGGACTCCCCCTGCACAACCTCTTCATGCTGCCAGCCGTCCTGCTGCACCTCCTCCCCCTGCCAGGAAGACTGCTGCACCCCTGCATGCTGCAAGCCCGTGTGCTGCACCCCTGTGTGCTGCAAGCCCGTGTGCTGCACCCCTGTCTGCTGCAAGCCCGTGTGCTGCACCCCTGTGTGCTGCAAACCCGTGTGCTGCACCCCTGTCTGCTGCGAGGACTCCCCCTGCTCAGCCCCCTCCTGCTGCCAGCCCAGCCCCTGCTGCAGACCCTCCTCCTGCGTGTCCCTGCTCTGCCGCCCCGTGTGCAGGCCCGCCTGCTGCACCCCTGTCTGCTGCCAGGACTCCCCCTGCACAACCTCTTCATGCTGCCAGCCGTCCTGCTGCACCTCCTCCCCCTGCCAGGGAGACTGCTGCACCCCTGCGTGCTGCAAGCCCGTGTGCTGCACCCCTGTGTGCTGCAAGCCCGTGTGCTGCACCCCTGTGTGCTGCAAGCCTGTCTGCTGCACCCCTGTCTGCTGCAAACCCGTCTGCTGCGCCCCTGTCTGCTGCACCCCTGTGTGCTGCGAGGACTCCCCCTGCTCAGCCCCCTCTTGCTGCCAGCCCAGCCCCTGCTGCAGACCCTCCTCCTGCGTGTCTCTGCTCTGCCGCCCCGTGTGCCCCCGCCCCGCCTGCTGCGCCCCTGCCTCCTCCTGCTGCCGCCCAGCCTCCAGCGTGTCCCTGCTCTGCCGCCCCGTGTGCCCCCGCCCTGCCTGCTGAGGCCACCATTCTGATGGGCACGTCCCCCCAGGGCCAGCTGAGCACTCTGGGGACCCCCGGCTCTTCCCTGCCTCCTTCACGATCTAACCCAGCGCAATCTTGGGCACACAGGTCAGCGTGAATGTTCACCATCTTCGGACCCTAATAACCAGGGCCGAGCCGGTTCGCAGCCTCACATCACGACCAGATGAACCAGAGCCAGCCCTCCCGTTACTGAAAGGCCCCCAGGCTGTTTCTGGCAGCCACGGCCCCCAGCTCTGTAGTCTTACTGGGGCTCCTGGCCCTGGAAGCTGTCTGCCTCCTCCCAAGCACACACCTGGAGCTAAGCGAATAAACCTGCAGTCCTGGCCTCCACTGACCCTCTCTCCCAGCCTCCGGGCTAACGGAACCCTGGCTTTAGCAATCCTGCTCACGAGCCACATCTTGGGAGCACTTCCAATGGCAGTGAGTTCTGAGGCCCACCCTGGTGGTCACCAACAGCACCTCCAGGAGGCTCCGGGTGGCTGGACGGAATGTTCGGGCCTCAGGTGGCACAGCCACCCGGACAGCGGGCCCCTTGGCAAGAAGGCCCCATTGCCCCAGGCCTCGCTCTCCCCGGTCAGTCCAGCACCAGGATGCAGGGCCCAAGGTGGTTTCTGGGCCGGGAGGCAGGCGGGGCCGGGCCTTCCAGGGAGACAGCTAAAGGGGGCATTGCCTTCTGAGTCTCTCTCTCTCCATCTGCCCTGGAACTTCAGTGTTTTATTCAAACGTCCCCCCGCCTCTGCCTGCACATGCCAATGTGCCATGCCGTCCCGGGCCGCAGACCCCGCCCGGTGTGACAGAGGTCAAGAGGAAGACCCCAGAGGCTAAGCCACTTTGAGTTCCAACACCCTGGCATCTGAGGCCCAGGGGTGCTGCCTTCCAGGGCACTTCCCTCGAGGCTGTCTGGACGGGGCCCCCACGTTTCCCAGGGCTCCCCATAGCAGGCCTCAGTCCCAGACAGGGTCACTTCCTCACGGTCCGTGAGTTCGAGCCCCACGTTGGGCTCTGTGCTGACAGCTCAGAGCCTGGAGCCTGCTTCGGATTCTGTGTCTCCCTCTCTCTCTGCCCCTCCCCTGCTCGTGCTGTCTGTCTGTCTGTCTGTCTCTCTCTCTCTCTCTCTCTCTCTCTCTCAAAAATAAACACTAAAAAAAATTTTTTTAATTAATATTCTTTGCTTCCTAACTTTCGTGCAAACAAAAAGTGCCCTGGCCTAATGGGTGAGAATTTTTAAAGAGGACGACGTCAGGGTGACAGAGTCAGCCTCCCCTGGTGGCAGTGCGGGGCCCTGGCTGGCATCTCACCTCCTCTGCACTGGGGTGTGAGTGGGGTGGTTCTCTCTGAGGTGTGATTTTGGGGAGACGAAGGTGAGGGGTGTGGAGGGGTCTCCTGGGGGCGCGGCACTCAGATGAGACCTGGGGCTCTGGCTGCTTGCGCTCCACCGGGAGGCCCTCAGCCCCAGTGGGAAGTCCCCCCTGGACAAAGACGGTACAGAAGCCTCTTCTTTCTGCGGGAGGATGCTCCGTGAGCCGCCAGGAGGGGGCGTCGTGCCCACACAGGGTCTCCAGGAACCGATTTGAGGGCCCCTCCCAGGGGCCAGGATTCCCCAGAACTCAGGCTGGAAAGCACCACTCTCCTGCAAGCTTCTGGTTGAACAAGCGCAAGGACAAAGTTGGTGGCCGAGAGAGCCATCCAGGCTTCCTGCCCCCCAAACGCGCAAGAGGCCAGATGCTGCCCGCTGGGCCAGCTCCCCGGCCTTCTCACTGCCAGGTAGCTTTTAAAATGCAGGTCTGGGGGCAGCCCTGGGGGGCTCCGTCGGGTAAGCACCCAACTTTCGAGCTCGGCTCAGGTCACGATCTCACGGGTTTGTGAGTTCCAGACTGGAGGCAGGCCCTGCGCTGACAACGGGGAAACCACTTAGGACTCTCTCGCCCTCCCTCTGCCCCTCCCCTGCTCATGCTCACACTCTCTCTCTGTCTCTGTCTCAAAATAAACAAACGTTTTAAAAAAATAAAAGAAAATGCGGATCTGTTCTGTCATTTCGTGAGTACTTTCTCTAGCTCTAGGGATGAAGGGCCCCCACAGGCACCCAGAACCCAGGTCTGACCACCCCACCTGCACCAGGCTCCTGCAACTGGCAGCCTGGGGTCCCTGGCACCCTGGGTCCCCCACTGCCACCCTCAAGGTTCCTTCTTGAGCCCCCCCCCCCGGGCCCCTCCCACTCTGGAGGATGTCACAGCTGCTGGTGGCTCTGTGATTCTAGTGTCCCCAGGGGTGGGCACGGCACCGCCCTTGCCTGGGTACGGAGTGAATGAAGGAGGGAAGGAGGGGTAAGAAGGGGTGAGTGAAGGGATTCACTCGGACTGGGTTCCGAGTGACGCCAAGGCTGAGCCCTGGTGAGGAGTCCACCCCCGGGTGCTCTGGGGGCAGCAGGAGGGGAAGAAATGGAAGGGGAGACACCGTGACCCTGACGTCCGGCAGCAGCTGACAATTGTGCCCCCCACCCCTTCTCCGTACCCAGCCCCTTGGAGCCCCCCAGCGGGCCAGCCCGGGAGGGTCCAGCTGCGTCCCTCCACCTCGGCCTCCCGTCCCCGTGGACGTGAGCTGGGTGTGACGGATGCCAGGGACTTCCCCCCAGCGTCCCCCTCACCCCACTGTCCACAGCACAGCCCGTCAAGGCGTCTCCTCCGGGACGGCCCCAGCCACTTTCCCGGCACCACGCACGCCACGCAGCCCAGAACCACGGATGTCCTACAGGACCCAGGAAGGACCTTAGGGACCCGAACCTCAACCTTCTGGTCCCAAAGCAGCTGGCCCCGCGTGGCGGAGCGGCCGGGGGGTCAGGGGTCAGGAGACGCGGGCTGGCTCCTGGAGCCCGGGAGGCCAACGGCTTATAAGAGGCACGTCGCCCCAGAATTCTGCTGGCCACACTCACCCCCCGGGAGGCCACGCCAACGCCACGTGCACACCCTGCTTCCTGAGCCCTGAAACCTGTCCGAGGGCCACCACGTAGGTTTCCCCAGCCTGCACCTCCCACCTGCCCCCTGGTGGCCTCGTGCATGCGGCCTGCCCGCCGGCCCCTCTGTCCCGCTTGGCCAAGGCTTTCTGAGACTTGCCCCAACCTCAGACGCACCTGCACCCACACCTGCGCAGAAAGGCCAGGCCCCAGGCCCCGCCACTCGGCAGGTGGTCTCCTGGGCAGACACGTGACCCAACTGCCCTACCACTAAAACGCCTATCCCTAAGGTGTCTGGGAGTGGTGGGGCCCCCCCCCCCCCCGCCTCCAAAGAGCACTAGTGAGCTGCTCACCAACGTGAGCACCCACGCGACCCTGCCAGCTTTCCCGCCCGGACCCCGTGCCCGCCCTGGCACACGGCCCTGCCATCTCGTTCCCACAAAAGCCACACAGAAGTGGCCCGCTTACCGTCCAGACGAGGCCCTGCCCCCACGCCCCCAGCCTCCTGGACCGTCCTGCCCACGCCTCCCCAATGGCGAACTCGGAGTCCTCCAGACCCACTTCCCAGTTCTGCCGACTCCTGGGCCCCTCTGGCCGCCCTGCCATCGCCAGCACTGAGTTACCTCTTCCCAAAGTGCAGGTGCGAGGGTGCCTTTCCTGCCCCGCTGGGGTGAGGGTACCCCCAAATCCAGCCCAGAGTCCCCCAACAGCCTCGCAGCAGAGGCAGACGACAGCAGCACTGGGAGCCAAAGCCGCCCCATCTCCCCGGCACGGCACCCTCCACAGAGCGGGCTGGGACGCCCAGGGGCACTGAAGCCCTCGCAGACAGCACGGCACCCACAGTCACCACCCCAGGCTGGTATCATCTGCGCTCCCAGACTCGGGGCAGGACGTGACAGCCCAGGGCTGCGGCGGCCAAGGCTCCTGGCACCTGGCGTGCACACGGTGGCACAGACCAGGAACAAGGCCCCCAGGCAGGCGAAATGCCCCCCCTCCCCCCCGCACACTCACACAACCCTGCGGTGTAAACTCAGGTGCCTTCCAAAACAGAGAGGAATCAAAGTGATTGTTTTAACCATTTGAAGTCCCGAACCGCCGAGCACGAGTGCCTTGGGAGCACTCCAAACGCACCCGACTTTTATCTTTCCTCCTGAGTCCCGGTGTTTATAACTGGGTCACCTTTTAACTATCTGCAACAAGCCTTTAGGGCACAGGGGGCGGGCTTTATAAATAACCTTTATTATTACTATGCAGGCTGACTCTGTTCCCAGGGCTGAAGGGAACGTGAAGGTACACGTCAGTGATTCATTCCCCACCGGGGAGACCGCCGCACTCGGGACAGCGGCTACAGCAGCGCTGCCTGGGGGGCCTTCTGGGGCCCCCCGGGACCGCGCGGTGGCCTCCGTGCAGGGGGTTTTGCCTGCAACAGGTGACCTTCAAATCCTGCACTGCTCGCAAACCACAAGTGCCAAGGCAGTCGCTGCGGACAGGAGCCCAGAGTGCGGGGGGCTTCAGTCCTGCCCCCGCCCCAGGGCTTTGGCTGCTCCCCTGCACGGGGCACCCGTCCACCCCGGGGATCAGCATTCCAAACTTGGGTCAGCATCAGTCATCTGCCGGTCCTGTCACTGGAACCAGGGGCCATGAGAGCAAAGAGCCCTCACACGGAAGGGACCCCGGCTGAGTAATTTGCACACGAAGCTGGAAGGGCCCTGCCAATCCCCTGGCACCTGCCCCCCGCCCAGCCCCGCGCTGCGGACCCCACTCACCCACCTGCGGCGGGTCTCCAGCTGCTAGGCCTCCTCCTCCGGCTACTTTGTGTTTAATGTCAGCTCTGATAAGTAAAATCTCTTGGTAGCGACTCCAGAAAGACAGAGTGATGTCATGGCCGTTAGCTAGTCAACCTTTCCGAACGAGGGGGAGCAGAACCGCGCCCCCGCCAGGAGCCAGCCGGTGGCACTCTCCCCAGCGCTGGCGTGGGTGTCTGGGGCTGTGCTTTACTAAGCGCAGACCTGGGGCTCTCTGAGCTTGCGGCCTGAGGGGGGCGGGCGGAGGGGGGGCGGCTGGCTCATTCCTGAAGCAGGTGCAAGGCCTTTCCCCAGGATGCACAGGAAAATACTTGTGAAGCCCTTGGATGGAGGCTGGTTAAGGCTTTGAACCGAGTCCCCACCCTGTCAGCAGCTTTCTACTGTGCCGGCCCCCCCTCCACCCCTTTCATCTCTGCCTCTGCCCGTCCCCCTCTACCTACCGGTGCCCCCGAAGCCAACCCGGCTCGCAGTGACCTTGACCGGGGGATGGGAAGTGGCCCTGACCCGCGCAGCTGCCCCCCTCCCGGCCCCCAGCTCAATACCCCCCTTACCTGTGCAGGGTTCCCATCGCCGGGTGCCTCGGCCTGGGGTCGCCAGGGCCAGGAGCGGGACACACAGCATCAGCAGGACAGACATGAGGAGTATAGGTCCCAAGCTCCATCCAGGGGCTCCGCCCTCGGCCCGCAGGGAGGGAGCTGCTCGTCAGACACCCAGGTGGGCCCTTTCAGGATGGCAGCAGGGGGCCCTGGGGCAGTCACTGTGATGGCCCCATGCCGGAGTCCTGAGACAGGACAGAGGCGGCCCCGGGTGGCACAGACCTTCTGAGGGCTCTGCCAGGGGGGAGGCAGGTGGCGCGGGCCTATCTCATTTCCGCGTGGGCTCGGGTCCTGCCGTGCAGGTGACAGGTGATAGCATCTCAGCACAACTGCGGTTAGTCATTGGCAAAGCACATTTCTCCCAAAGGAAAGACAGACAGATGTGCCGGTGGAGAGCTGGGAGCAAACCAGAAAAACTCTGAGAACCTGTTTTCCGTGGGTGCAGACCCCTGCCTTAGGAGGACAAGCCGCGCGCCGCCACCGGGTCCCAGGAGGGGCCGGGCTTTGAGGACGGCTTTTATCTGGTGCCCAGCCCTCCCGAGGGCGTGTGGGTTTCAGGAATTCCCCTCCGGAGGGAAGCCAGTCCGCGGGAACAGCTAATGAGAAGACACGGGAAGACGGGCCCGGGGGCGGGGAGCGCCGAGGCCCAGCTCACGGCGGGAGCTGCCCTTCACCGAGCCCGCCGAGGGTCACTTGGGTCTGACCTCTCCAAACCTCAGC